ATATATATATATATATATATATATATACATATACATATTAAATGTATATTTAAGCCTTAATTTTCTTTTCATCTACTACAAATACTTGTAAAAAAAATTATCCGGATGTTCTTTACCTCTGTTTTATCGTGTGTATTCGCCTACTAAGTTAATAAAATCCATTATTCATCCATTTCTCATTTTTTTCCTTGCGCCATTGTGATTAACCCCATCGTATATTCCGATTAAGATTCACAATTACAAGATGGATTTAATTGACGTGCTGTGTAAAAAGATTACAAGATACGTTGGTGGCTTCCATCCACCCTTTCCAGAAATAAGAAAACCAAAATAGCTCAAAATTTTATTGCAAAAATTAAACATAATTCAGATATTAACACGGAACTCCTTTAAAAAAAAAAATAAATCACGATGTACATAGCAGTAATTCTCTCATAATACTAACAGATTAAACAGAAAAGGAAATTTCCATTTTAATAAAAACCAAGAAATAAAAAATTGAAGGTGTAAAGTTGGGGAAAATTGATTTTTATCACTTGCTGAGAACTGAGAAACTATTATACTTTCACTCAGCAGCACGGCATTTTAAAAGCGTATTGCGCAGCAGTTGGTCTGCACCCAAAAATGAGGTAGCAGAGGCATATTCTTAATTGACTCTATAAGAATGTACTAATATATCTAAGCTATGATTTTCTTTCCTTTAACCTTGTCCTTGAGGGCATCTTTATGTGGTTTTGATAAATCCAATGCATCACCTGTGGTGTGTTTCTTCCGCTTAGCCACTCCATTGTCAGCAGCATTACCTATGGGACCAGACCAAGCTTGGAATGGTTCCTTTGAATAGATATACGAGGTTGACGTAAAAGAGACATCATTAGGAACAGTATCTGGATCAATGTGATGTGAAGATCCCAAAGGAAAACCAAGTTGCCCATCTTGATGTGGTGGAGGGAACTTTTCACTCTTGCTCTTGGCATTTGCATGAGTGATTAGACGTCTTCTCTGTTCCGCAAAAGAAATCATGGCAACAAATTTAATCAACTTTACTTTTGATTCAGGATGCAGATTTTTTCTATATTTGTAAAGTAAGACAGTTAATTATAAGGAAAGTAGCAATACAAATAAATGGATGATAAAATAAAATCCTTAAACAAAGCACAAAAATACTAAAGAAGGAAGAAAAACATGAATATATTAATACAGAGGAGTTCTTTTTTATCCCTCTGCATGTGTATCCTAAAACAAACCATTTGATGCACACCAAGCTGAAGCCATTGTCAAAACCAATGAACCTAATCAAAAGATATTTCCCCTTAACATGCATATATCTAAGCATTAAGCACTCCTGATACACCCAAGCTGCTTCAAAAATTATGATACAGGCAACCATTAAGCTCATTCAGAAGTCAACAGTAATTCGAATTACTACAGACAAATTCAAATGCCTTAAAGCAACGCATTAATCATCTATCATATACTTGAATATAGGGGTTAGGCAAAGTCTTGAAACAAATTGAGCACTGAATCTTAATAATCTACTTGTTGGAAATGGTATTATTAGCAATTTGGCGGATACTTGTGTCAGCTTGAGACAGAAAAAAGTTCTGTTGCCAAATCCTAATTGTCCTTTCTACTTGCTCTCAATCATTTCATTTTATTAGGCATTCTCAAAGAATATAATAACCTCAAAGCACATCTATTCAGGGTTTTATAAACCAAAGCAGAGCATTTCTAGTATACTCGTGATTATCAATAAAAGTATGCTTTTTCAACGTACATCAATATTGGATTGAAGCTCAGCATTGGCTTCCGGAGCAGGAAAAGCTTTTACAGCACGATCACGCGTGCGATGCTTCTTTGGACCATCAGCCTGAGGTTTGCTTGCAGCTCTTAGTCTGAAAATTCACATAGACAAAGTAACTAAGAGATAGTTAAATACAGTAGAATGGCTAAATTATAACTAGCAGACTTAACCAAAAAGACAAAAGGAAATTTTTCACTCGGGTAATCTCTATAAATATCAGTATGAAGACTCTGTTTATTGGAAGAGTATACTTGTTAAATAATATAAGGTTATAAATGCGAATAATCTAAAGAATATAAAATATAATTGTTTAGGTAATATCAGTATCAACACCCTACAATCCTACATTTACTTATCACGGTCCTTATCATATTTCCAAGTTCTGTGTGCGTGTATATTCCAGTATGCAGAAAGGAAAGTTAAGAGCTGAGATACCTCCTCATTTCATCATCCCGTCGTTTAGCATCCATTTCCTTGCTTGGGGGATATTTTGGAAGACTAGATGGATCACAAGCATAAGGTTCTGTGGTAAAGAACTGCAAGACGTAGGAACAGACAAGAAAGCTAAATGTAAATGGGTTTGAATTTAAAAAGATAATCAAAACTCAACAAGAATAACATCTAAACCAGATTCAAGGTAGTTTCATTTGATCAATTCTTACACGGATATACCTATGTAACATTAATTTTAGACCATCTAGATACTTTATTGTGAAAAAAATAAATAAAACAAGTCATCCATTCCATGTAGAATTTTTATTTAATTTTAATTTCAAAGAAAACACGACCAAGAAAATTATTGAATCTATTCCAAGATGGATTCCTATGGTTAAGATAAACACAGCTTAAGAGAGG